GATGATGATGTACTCGAATGCGCAGCAAGGCGCAGGGATATGGAATTGTAGCAAAATGGCACAGTTTGATCACCACTGTACATGTGCCAGGTTTTTCCAGCTTCATGGTCTACCTAACCTGTTGCACTTTACCATATAGGTCACCATAAAGAAGGCCTATAAATATTGATCTAAAAGTTTTAGCCACACAGTGCCTTATTAAATTTTTCAACAAAATCTTAAAGAAACAGCCTCTACAATCCTGCAAAATTACATCATTCACTACTTGTTATCCTAAAGTGACCATATTTCAAAAACTCGTAAAGTGGGAGCTTGTGGGGGCGCGGAATTGTTTTAGGTTTGGAGTAAGTCTGCACAGTGTACGTGAAAACTCTGGCATGTGTGCAACACCAGAATTGAGCAAACCCCTCTACCGTACACAGAAGGTGCGAGTTAAAGTGAAAACATAAAATGGAGAAAGTAGAGCAAACAACTGTGATGGAGAGCGGTGGGGAAGGAAGTTCGAGCATGAGGTGGGAGAGAGTAAAGCCTTACAAAACGAGGAGTGCTGAGGCAAGGACTCGGGAAGGTGTCCTTGCCTCATATTTATTATTAATATATTAATATTTATTAGAAATGTTAGTCCTTGCCTAATAATTCTTCTTGAATAAATCTCTTTGCTGATGATTGTGTTCTAATGAAATTAATGACAGTAATGTCTCTTACCTTCACTAAACACTAATAGGTGCAAGCACATGCGCATTTCTCAGAATTCAAACAAACCTCCTACTTACCACATTAACAATGTTACTCTTGAAACAGTGTTCACTTATAAGTACCTCGACATTCACATTTCTTCTAACCTGTCCTGGGAAACACATATCGATCATATCATAAATAACGCCAACCGCATGCTTGGGTATTTTTGCTGAAACTTTTCTAATTCACCCAGTTCAATAAAGTTAGTGCTTTATAAAACATTGGTTCACTCGAAATTAGAATATTATGCATCAGTCTGGAGCCCTGGCATTCATTCACTCATTTATAATCAGGAAGCTGTGGAAAACTATGCCTGTCGTTTCATACTCTCTAACTATCACCGAACAAGTAGTGTAACTGCTATGAAATCATGTTTATCCTTCCCTTCTTTCTCTCATTGCAGGTCTGTAGCTTCATTATGTCTTTTTCATAAAATTTGCTATAATAACTAGCTAAAAACAAGTTATTCACAAAACCCTCATATATATCAGCTCGCATTGATCACCACAATAAAGTTGGAATTCCATCATGTCATACTAAATCTTTTCATGACTCATTCATACCCACAACTTGTGTCTGTTGGAATGGCCTTCCCCTCAACATCGCTGACATAATCATACTAATTAGTTCTGTAAAACAATTACTATTTTGTAAATATATTTTTGTGACTGATTGTATAATTTTTTCTCTTTATCAAAGAAACACGTTCACCCACGGCGTACTATTGCACTATATGAGGCCAACGTTGCACAGCTACATCTGTCCTCACTGCAATGTGGCAGACACTCTGGCGCACCTCCTACTGCAGTGCAAAGTAAGTGCCCCAAGACACTTACTTTGCTGCAGCACCAGATGCGCACCGGATGCACCAGAGCAGCACCAGATGCGGACCAATACTTCCTCAGTGAAGCGTAGAAAGCTGCGATCTCCCAGCCGGGCCTGGTCGAGCAGTGTCAACTCGTCGCTTGAGCCCGGCGGCTGTCCAAGCCAGAGGGTTCCAGGAATAAAGGATCCTCCCACCTTCACTCACAAGCTTCATTCAAGAAATGTTTTTCTCTCCCTCTCTCTCTCTATCAAAGTTGATCTTTTGTACTAACGCTGAAGCTACTTCTTTTTTATTTGTCTTGACGTGAGTTTTTACCATATACTGTATAGTTTTTTTTTTACTTCATACTTTGATGTTTCTGTATTCTTGTGTATCCCCACTCCCCTCTGTAATGCCTTCCTTGAGGGTACAATAGATAAATAAATAAATAAATTTGCAAGATCAGATTCAACGATATGGTCCAAAGGTCAACGTCGTAACCTCTTGGCTATACAGGCACAGTAGTTGAGCGACCATTTATGGGAACCATATGGCTGCTTTGCTATGGGTGAGAGAATGAGAAAAACATAGAGAGCAAGATGAAAACACGCAAAATAATGAAAGACAAAAAGAGGAAGAAAGAGAAAGAACATCATAGCCATGTATAGGATATTATTCTCCCTGAAATTAGGTGGATTGCTCGTCTGGTGACCACTGGCTGAAGCACGCTTAGTGTGGACTGCTTCCTGCGTCGTCTGCTAGCCACCTAAGGCTTGCATTGTGTGCGTTTGTCAAGCGCATCCTAGAAGGGCACTTTGTCTCACTCTATCAGTGCAAGTTTAACTTCTTGCATGTTTGCCTAGCACAATTTACAGACATACTTTGAATTGCTAGGGTGTATATGCACTGCAATAAGATCCGTTCATGCACTTCCCGAGTAATGTGTGACCCTCCAATTACCACGATCATTTTGGTGTATGTGCCCCTTAGTGGATGAAACACATCGTAAGGCGCCCTTGTCGTCGTCCGAAACATGAGGAGTATTAGATATTGTGTGAATGCAGTGTTACAGCGACTCAGTGATACACAAAATTCCACTTGTTGTTAGATGTCTAACTGTGGTGTTGTTGCTTAACGGTTATGCAATGAGCTTTAATTGTGCTTGAGATATTCTTTCATTGTGGGGTCCAGGTCCCACTCCAGCGTAATATTTATCAAGTAAATTCTGACACTTCTGTACTTGAATGTCCCTTAAAAAGAACAGAAAATGGAATGAAACGGAGGTGGTTGAAACTTGAGTTATTGTGTGCAATTAGACCATTTGGCAAAATTGATATAGACACACCTGTGCGCTTAGGTTTGCGTTCACCTTAAAGAATCCAGATGGTCAAATTAATCCAGATGCGATGCCTCACACATATGCTATAGTTTCCACAAATGTCATCCTTTTTTTTTTGGTACATTATCTCGCGCTTTTGTGGCATTGTTACGTAATGCCCAGGAGCAGTTATGTTTTCAGATAAATTGCGAGAAAATGCTGACTGTTTTTACTCTTCTTGTATAGTTCATTAGAAGGAAAATATGAATGGCATTTTGTTTAAGGCATAACTTAATTAGTGATAATTGGAAATAATTATTACTATTATATAGTATGTAAGTCACTGTACCTTCTTCATAACATGTCAAATTTCGAATAGCTGCTGATCGCGGCACCTATAGTAACTTTTAGAAGCATTATTGAGGTACCATTTTAAATGTATCAAATATGATACAGTGGGCATTACAGTGTCAAAAAAATATACATTTGTGCTAAGAAATAAATGAACCTTTGTTTTATCACTGTCATGCGCAGATAATCAATCGAAGAAAGCTGTGTGCTGCACTGTAATGTTTTTATAATATTACAGGAGTAAGAACAAGCACGATAATGCACTGTCTACCACGTAGCTTTCTCGAACAAACTTGTCAATTGTCCTACATTCATTTCATGGAGAAGTCAATAAGAAAACAATGCAGACGCATATTCGCGATTATTTTTAACTCATTGCCAAAAACTATCACATTCCTTTTTTTTTTCTTTGTACCCAAGACCAACAAACATGAAGCAAATAATGAATTCAGTCACAACAGAGCAGTGCATAGTAGGCAGGACACAAGCTGTACACTTACAAATAAAAATACAAGAAATCCGACATAGGTTAGTGTGAAAACACGGGCAGTTGCCAGGCACAAACATGCCTTTCAATGGCAGATTCTGTTTATCCCTAAAGTAACAGAAGTAATAGTAACATTCTGCGAGCTTTGTGTGTCCTTTTGGCAATGGACAACGTACGTATTACACGTAGGCTACAGTCAACGCATTTTATTCGCTGACAATCGACTCGCACTGCTAAAAAAAAGTGTCGCTGCATACATTTGTATCAGTGCCACCGGCCGCATATCCACACAAGCGCGGTTATGATGCTTCAACCTGTAGCCCGATCTCATTGCAATAAGGGTGGCTTAGCTGCCCATGACTGCGAGCCAGCTTCCAGCTAAAAGCATGACAATACAGAGTCATGCAGGCAGGTTGGCGAGACAGCGGGACCGTAGCCGTAGAAACTGGGACATCTGGTCACTTTATATTATCCATACTTGTGTTGGTGCAAGCTTGCCAACATGCAAACATAATTAATCTTGTAAAAGTTAGCGCTGTTAGACAGCACTCGCACTGTGTCCTACTCTTGTGCTCCATCCCATTCGCACCAATTTTTGCAAGATACATCAAATGCCAACTCGCCCACCTCCCTACCGTACTGTAATATAATCAAATATTACAACGTGAAAATCTATCATTTGGGTAAAATGAGCTCACATTCCTCTTTTCACTATTGAGACAGAGTGGTACAATGTTGATTGACAGATGAAACTTTTCCCTAAAGAAACACCTAGAGCTACAGACATCATGGTTCAGCTTCATGTTTACCACTGGTCATGGCTAGCTAAACTCAACATGTGCATTGGCATTACAGCACTCTGACCCCATCAGAAAGTAGCTACCATAACCAAGAGCCTGCAACATCGTGCTAGATGGTAATCTCTTATGTGCCTAAGATCGCCACTTGTGTAAAGTCTTCTTTCAGTATAAAACTGTCACCACATTGACATTTTGCGGCACATTCGGAGGGGCAGAATCATCTCACAAGTAAGGCGACTGGCTACTAATCTTCATGATGTTGTACATTGCATCAGTGCCTGCATATATATTCTGTGTGCCCAGCCACAGGCCTGAGGCACAACTGCCGCAAGCACTGGCAGGAGCTACCAGGTCAGTGTTGGTGTATGCAGGTCAGAGAATGGCCAATAAAAGAATAAACAGGAAAGTTCAAGGCCAAATTGCAACTACGCGTAGTCAGGTGTAGTACTAATGATGAGTGTTTGCAATGTATGTCAAACATCACAAACACATTTAGGAGTTAATATATAAATGTGCAAAAGCTTTATAATGCCACAGCGATTACAACATCTTCTCATATGGCTCACTCATGCAATTTTTTTCAACCCGCGTAGAAAGCAATTTAAATTTGTGCTGCGTGACAAAATGCTTAGATGATACATATTTGGAAGCAACTCTTCGGCAAAGCTTAAGCCACACCCCAGCTCACATTGGAGTTGAAAGGGTGAGCATCATCATGTTGCTCAGAAGGAGTGCTTCATGGTACACGGAGGGGCATAGGCTTCTCGGGTCTTCTCTGTACAGAAGACCCTTTAGCCTCATCCTCCACCAGGGATGGAAGCAGTTCATTGTGCCTGATATGAACTGAAACATGAAAGGAAAAAAAAAGAAGGGGGGGGGGGTGTGTCAATAGAGGTTGTCAACAAAAAACAAGTGCACCTTTTTTTTAACGAGTTTCCTGTCTTCATAGAGCACTACTATTAGACGAAAAAAATATTTCTTTGGAAGAAAAGCAAATACAAAACAAGCACGTTGCACCTAAACTATTGCAGCCATACTGTTGCGAATCTGTGCAAAGATACTAGAGAGCCTGTCATAACTCAACCTTGCGTGTTGTTTATATGCATGATTATTTCCTTCATGTTAAGCCTATTGTAAGCCGTCATGTGCCAGCTGAAGCTCTACTTGAAAAAAATACTAGCAGCTTAGTGTACTGACAATCATAGTTTCTTTCAAACTTACCTAGAGGGAAATCTGGCGCTAGTGAGCTGCTGGATGCAAGGAAATGATGGGATATGTGAGCTTCGAACTTGACTTGGATTTGTACACCTCAAAGACGCATCTGGCTTCACGTTAAAATGATTGATTTCTACCTAAAGGGCATGTAATAAGCTATTTATTTTTGTCATTGCACATAAACGTGTTTTATTTACCACTGGAACCTTCTGCGTCGATGTACATTTTTACGAAGCGCAAGGAGTAACCAAACAGGCCACTAAACTTGGCAGGCAGACGACAGAGCGAACATTCCTTCTGCCACTTTATGTCGTCTGTTTTTCTTTCGCTGTTTCGATGCGCAGCGCCGTCAAGGTAAGCGCACTTTTATCTAAGAATATAGTATGAGTGAATGAGATTCTCTATGAAGGTTTTGTTTTATAGAAACTTGATTTACTTTTGAGCCGAAGCCTCGCTCATCACCAGCCAACACAAGCCGCGCAGACACATATACTGTTATTCCCAGCGCATAGACGGTGGTGGCACACTTCCCTCTAGGTATTAGTGTGAGAAACTCTATGCTGACAATGGTGTCACACAAGCACATATGGCACCGCATGACAGTTACCATTACAGTACTAAGCAGAGTCATTGGAAAAGGTCTGCTTTTAACACAATCATCTGTATGCCAAAGCAATTATTATTATATTTATTGGTCAAGCTTTGTCAAGTTTCTTGACTTCTGTCCATGAACACTTCATGAAAGAATGCTATCTCGGTAACATAAGGTGCATAATTCCTCCAGACTGAATTATTTTTACTTGTACTAAACAGAAACCTCAACTTAATGAAAGCCATAATTCAAAGTTTCTTAGCAAATATGACTGAATTAAATTGGCATAAGATAGCTCCATGAGGCAAAAAGAAAGTGAGATAGCATATTGTTTTACTGCAGTTCAAATATGCACATGCAGAACTTACGCACAGCATCTATGCAACCTACTTTTGAAAATTATATGTAACATGTCTGCATCGCTTGCCTACTATGATGAAACCACGATTATACAACTTTCAGGGGACCACGCCAAACCACCGTATAATCGAGAAACTAAGATTACAGGCAGTGACACTCGGCTTCTTCCAAAAATGGGTACAGACTGCTTAAATAAGCCCATGGCACAGCCTTGTGCCTCTGCAAGGAAGGTAGATTAAATTATTCTTGCCAGTGCGAGATAATGGCAGCATTACTTATCATTGAAGGAGGTGTGAGCAAACCTTTATTATCAACCTTTAAAAAAATTGTATCGCATACGCATCTTTACTTATCATTGAAGGAGGTGTGAGCAAACCTTTATTATCAACCTTTAAAAAAATTGTATCGCATACGCATCTTTTTACCAATAAATAGAGTCCGAGCAATGCCTGCACATGAAAACAAAACCGAAACTGCATTTCCAGCTGCTTCCTGTCAGAAGACACAAACGTCATCGCTATCACATAATGGCCACAGAAAACAAGTTTGCATAAAATATGTGTGCATGGTTCGTTCATTACTGCACTGTGTTAGTTGTGATTTGTTGCCTTGTGAAGTGCAACTAGCGGTGTCCCGCTCTTATTATGAATGTTGACGTCAAGTGAAAGTAATTTTGCACAATGAAAACAGCTGCGTTGCGCCCGTTACGCGCGCACAAGCCTGTAACTGTGAGTGCGACTAAAGCAGGAGATCAGCCGACCAGAAAAAGTTTTCACAGACCGAAATGTGAAAATATCAGCTGAAGCTACTCTGTTTGGGTGCAGCTTGAATAGGTAACGACCCCAGATATGTACACATGCAATCGAGCATATGTAGATGGGCATGAACTTCCAGGAGAATAAGTTTTGCATTCCAAGACATCCTGTCTCACTCTCGTCTTTTTCCAATCGTCAATCTAGGGTAACGCAGAGTTCACATTTTGCACTCATCAGCTTTTGGTCGACATTTGATCCGAGTAAAAATAGTTTTTTTTTCTTTTAGACGGAAGCTGAAAGTCGTCGGGATATGCGGGGTCAGCGTAGAACTGCGTTGTATAACCAAGGTTTTTAATACATTATTTCTACAAGGATTTTGCCGTGACCAAACGGATTTGTCGTAAAATGCGATTCGTCGTGGAACTGGGGGATGTATAATTGAAGTTCCACTGTATGTCCTCAAATGGCAGTAGCAGAAGTGGTAATATTTATATGACAAATTATTAGGTATTACCACTAAAAAGAAATGTTCCTAACAGAGCAGAAGTCTCGCTGCACATTACGAGAATGCATAAAGATTTCTTGGTGCCATTACTCCATTCAGGATTGAAGTCACAGTTGATTAACAAACATGAAAGCAGTGTAATAAGCAGGCCCAACTAATAAATTTTGTGTGCAGCCATTGAAAACGATGCATAGAAGCAAAGTATTGTTTTGTTCCTTCTACCATAACCTTGAAGATGGGGAGAAAATGAGTAGAGTCAGAGAGGTTATGAGAGAACAAGGCTCTCCTGCTGCAGCAGGACTGAGGAGACAACCCTGCAAGCGAATGCACATCTATCCAAAAAAACCATAATGCAACTCTTAGTCACAACGAGAAACTTAAATCTGTAGCAGTAATAACAAAGAAGGGCAAATAAAAGAGGGCCAGGAAATGGCACTAGCATCAGTCTGTCTCAATTTCTTGTACTGTACTACAGACATGAGAAAAAGATAAAAAGGAACAAAGATAGAGAAGAGTAAGTGATTAAAAACAGATGATGCAAAAAAGAAACTATAATCAAAAGATTTGTTGATCCAACAGAAATGCATTAGCATCAACCCTTTGCATGCATTAAATGTCAACAATGTGCCTGCTAACCAACGTTGGCCCGACTCCTCAGACAGCAGCACGCTTTCAGTGCTTTGAGTTAGCTGCTACTGCCAAACAATTCTTCATGCACATCTTCTGATTCAGCTGTTGAATCGCCCTTGACCTTCGTAGTGATGGAAGCGACATTTTGCTTTTTAGGGCAGAAAAAAATGGTGTTTTGGAGCAGCCTTGAGTGTCTTCGGAGCAGAAAAAAATGCTATAGCTTAGGGTTGCTATTGGTGTTTTCGGAGCAGATGCATGTTCCTAATGACTCCTGAAGTCTAAAACATCACTTAAGCATCTAATAAATACTTATATTTATTACTAAACAAGCCGTATGCTAGTATGCAACTAGTATACAAGCAGTATAGTTGGCATAAATCATGGGAGGGGGGGTCAAGAGAAGGCTGGGAGGACAGGCCTTGCAAGTGTCCCCCTTGAGATTTAGCTTTAGCATGTGATATAATTGAGTTAACAGTTAAGCATAGTGCAATAAACTTTTAAAATGCTTTATATCTTTTACTGCGCACTTGTGTTAAAGGACCCTGAGCTGTGTGAACTATGGGAATCGCAAGAAGGTGAAAAAAAAAAAAAGACTGAATAGAACAATGCAAATACTTGAGCTCGGACCCCATGCTTAATTTTAAAAATTTTATTAGAAAGCATAATTTAATACTTATATAAATGGTCACCATTGATTGATATGTGGGGTTTAACGTCCCAAAACTACCATATCATTATGAGAGACACCGTAGTGGAGGGCTCCAGAAATGTAGACCACCTGGGGTTCTTTAACGTGCACCCAAATCTGAGCACACGGGCCTACAACGTTTCCGCCTCCATCGGAAATGCAGCCACCGCAGCCGGGATAAAAAATGGTCACCATGGCCTAATATGTGTCACCCCTTGCGATTTTTCTGGATTTATGCCAACATACTAGAGAAAGAACAAGATGCAAATTCGGGCTACTTGGTAATAGTTCATTTTTTGATAACTCACAGCACAAGAAGGATGAAGACACAGACGAAGAATAAGACAACACGAATGTCTGTTTTTGTTAGTATGACCTGTTTTTTGTAGATATGTTTTTGTTTTGTGCAGCATGTGGCTGCTCCACGTGTCCTGAAAAAGTGTTGTCACTTGAATGACTCTGCTGCACATGCGCAATTGCTCTGTCGAAGCTGGTTGACCTGTGTATATATTCGCTGATGATTGATTGATTGATATGTGGGGTTTAACGTCCCAAAACCACTATATGATTATGAGAGAAACCGTAGTGGAGGGCTCCGGAAATTTAGACCACCTGGGGTTCTTTAACGTGCACCCAAATCTGAGCACACGGGCCTACAACATTTCCGCCTCCATCGGAAATGCAGCCGCCGCAGCCGGGATTTGAACGCGCGCCCTGCGGGTCAGCAGCCGAGTACCTTAGCCACTAGACCACCGCGGCGGGGCTGTGTATATATTCGCGCCTTTCCTTTGAATAAACTTTAGTTGAGACAGCGCTCGTGTTGTCTTATCCTTCCTCTGTGTCCTTCTTGCGCTGTGAGTAATAAAAAAAAAAGGGGGGGGGGCATTCTATAGGTTGATAGTGCAGTTTGTTTTTGGTTTCGCTTAGGCCCACTGGGTGGTTTTATGGTTCAACTTCCTTTTTTAATTTTTTATTTTTTTTAGTTGAACAATAACATTTTGGAGCAGTTACTAGCAAATATTGCACTTCAGAGCAGCATGGAGCAGCATTTCTCTTTTGGAGCAGTTTGGAGCAGCACTTCCATCACTGCCTTTGTTCAGCCACACATCCCAGCTCAGCTTTCCATACTGCCCATTGAGGCACTTCATTTTTAAAAAAAAATGCTGAAAGTGCTTTCACAAACTTTTCAAATGTCACAAACAACATGCCAAGTTTGCCGAAGAGTAATTCCTTTTTTTCCCCAGAGAGATAGCCAGATATGAGCCCGAAAGGCAACATCATGCCATCACATGTATTTGTACTGGCTCCTAAGGTGCAATCACACAACTGACAAGGGGAGTTGGGTTTTCATAGGAATAGTAAAGAGACAAGAGTACTTCTGTCCATGACACCATTTTTATCTTACAGTCCTATTATTGAAGATTCTGTCTTCAAGTGCTTTCACATGCTTTACTCTGCTCACCTTAGTTTTCATTCTTCCTGGAATGGCATTTAAGAACACCAGTTAGAGAAGCCATTTTAGCAGGGCCAGCAGGCCTACTTGCTACAGTCAAATGACCCTGCTAACTTGCAGTACTTAAAACATAACGACCCTCCGTGATTAGCACTAGAATATGGCAGACAATTTTTTGCCAACATGAAGTGTCAAACAACATCTATACTCGGTGACAATGTGGTTCTTTCTTTAATATAAGTTTCTTTTCATGCTCTCTCAATACTTAGCTCTCTTCAGTTCTATTCTACTATTGAACTGAGGCAGATTGTTGCTTCAATTCCTGAAGATGAGTTAGCTGGTATGTAAGGTGGTTTCCAGTAGCACCAAAGTATGTTGGGCATTGCAAAACTATTGTAGAGGAACAGTCGATGATGAGTCATCACTTCCCCTGGTTCAAGGCAGCACATCCAACAGGAGGTTCTAGGTATATACTTACTATATAGCTTACGCTACTGGGTAATGTGGCACAGTGAAGCTGAGTACACGTGAAACTTGATTTAACAAGAAATTAGCATGGTACTAGAATAAAAAAATTGCCCGCAGCTTCCCTCGGGGGAACACTGAGGAGGATGCGGACCATATAATTGGTTAACGGGGTGTTAAAGTGCGACTTACTTGGGTCGATGGCTAAATTGGTTAACGTGGTTGTGAAATGGGGTGTTAAATTGCGACTTACTTGGGTCGATGGCTGAATTGGTTAACGTGGTTGTAGGAGGGGGTGTTAAATGAGTGAACACGTACACACGTATGCGAAAGGGTGGCGCTGGTCGAAGGGACGTCGATCATTGTGTTTGTGGATTCGTTGGAATTCATTTCACCGCGACCTTGGACGTCGACGCGCCGTACAAACCAACCGACGAGCGGCAACTGAGCGAGCGAGCGCCGACCTTGAGTATATATACAGCACGACGGCGCATGCACTGTCAGCTGTTGAATGTTCTCGAAGCGTGACGCCACATGCGCGTCCACTGGAGAATCAGGAGAATTGTAGATGTCGAACGCGGTGTGTAGAGGAGGAAGGGTGCACAGATGGTGGAGGAGTGAAGCGCGCGCGGTGTGTAGAGGAGGAAGGGATGCACAGATGGTGGAAGAGTGGGCGACGGCGCGACGGCGCATGCGCGCGCGTCAGCTGTCGAATGTTCGAGAAGCGGTGCGGACGGCGCGGACGGCGCACTACAAGGCGCGAGTATAAGATGCTTCCGCATCTAAAAGAATCTTCTTTATATGCTAAAGTTGTTCAAGCAACTTACCAGAGTCAAGGTTTCTAAAACCGGCAAGCCTGCGTCTTGGTTGTTGGCCAGGAGATCTATGGGGACCAAGAATATGCTATTAAACTGACATACAGATCTTTTTTCTATGTAATGCAATTAGAGACAAATCCGCTGCAGGAGGCATGATTTAGTTTGTTCCCAGAGTTTGTTCGGCAGCAGCATCGCCTAAGTACAAGCTCTTTTTTTTTTCTTTCATCAATGCTCTATTTTAGTGAAAAACAAAATATACGAGAAAACAATAGCATGCCACTACTGATGTGCTATCAAAATTCTATATTGTCATGGTGGTGTTCAATTATTACAAGATTATAAATGCAAAGCAGTCTTATGCGAATGCAAAAAATACGACTGAATATTTCATAATGCTTTTGCTAACTAACTTATACATAACTCTCTCTTGTTACTTGAATGCAGTCTGTTTTATCTAAGATGTCTTGTATAGGTTCGAACACTACAGGCTGCCCTCTGAACACCTTTACAACAATGCTATATATGGCTAGGGTTCCATGTATCTTTCGTGCCCGTGCACCAACGACAACAATACCTAAGCGTTGGTCAATCCTAGAGGTAGTGCTATACTCGTATGATCCACAGTGAAGGGTTCCTTTGCTACTTATAAGAGTAAGCAATAAACCAGCCAAGAAATGGTTTACTCACATTGCACTAGAAGAGTTCAGTTTGAAAGGCCACACCAATCTATGTCACTCAACATTGGTCGTGTATAGATCAAACTTAATGATTATGTGCAGTGTTTTGTGGTGCAAGTGCCACTTGATGGCCAAAGAGCGCCAGGCCATGGCATAGGAGATGTGAACAATGATTATAGTAAGTGGCTGTATAAGGGCCTTAAAATTATCGTGCTAAGGTGGGTAAATGCATAAAGGTATTAAAATTGTGAAAGTGATGCGTAATATGTGTAGTGAGAATGAATACCAAAAGGCCGTCAGATTAAAACTATGGTGGAAATATATGGCATTAGCAAAAGTGCCCTGTCAATGCCCTTGCGTCAGGTGCTTTGTTTCATGTTGGCACCACAGCAGCGACCCCTCAATCTTCAGAGGTCATGCTACAGAATGAGAAGGTATATGACATGAAAAGTACGCACGTTTCTTAAAAATGCCAATAATGATTGATGCTTGAAAAGTGGGTCTCTCTCAATGAACATTCAGGGTGAAATGGTGTTTTTTGTTGGTAGAGTAATGGAAAGTGCGGTCTTCTTAGTGTGTTTTTATGCTATATTCGAATGTGAAGCACTGTTAGATTTTTACCACTAGAGATCAAACTTGAGCTACGAGTCTAAGGTAGTAAGTTGACTAATCGGAGTATAGCACAGAAATCACATTGCCAAATAATGAAACTGAATACATGTACTTCACTTCACTTCACTTTATTTTCTTAAAGACCCCCGAGGGGGTATTACATAAGGGGTGGGTTAACAAATAAAGTTCTGTTATTTTTTTTTATTGACACGGGTTTTCATTGCGAAAGACGTGCAGACAGTTGGTCGAAAAATGTTGATGGACAGGAAATGGCCACGACGTCGTGGGGAAGATCATTCCAGTCGTTTACAGTCCGTACAAAAAAAGACATAGAAAAAGTGGTCGTTCTAATGCGTGGACGGGCAACTTGAAGTGGATGTCTAGTGCGGTGAGATATGCGGGCTGGTGGAACAATGGAATGAAGGAATTTGTAGGCCTGTAACTTGACGTCCTGCGGGGCGTGCCGAAGGTGACATTTCAGAAAACCTAGGGATTTGTTTGCAGATGATATAATGTTGGTAACATGCAGGCGCCTCTATAGCCTCTGTGAAGCTGGTCATCTAGTTTCACAATAAGGAGTGATGCCTCAATATTATTTTTTAAGAAACACTATTTTGCACATACCTTCGCACATTAGGCCCTCCACGACTTGACAACGACGATCTACTTGAATTATCAGAATCCATCTGAAATATATAATTGCTCAATAATTCTACGCTATTCACCTAAAAGTTTCGTTCATGCTTGTATTACTAGCTATGGAAGCACTTACCATAAACAAAGTCTGAAAGCTGAAATACAAAAAAAAATGGCATAGTGAGTGTGGCAGATAAAGGCAGTAACAATGTGTGTGATTTGGGAGCTTTTGACATCGCGGAGCTGAACGAACTCGTAATGTAGTGCCATCCGCTTTCGGCGCTAGTTCGTAACGCAACTCCGCGAAATTTGGTATATAGCCCGATAACTCTCGGCGGGTCTTGGACAAAAATTACTGGTGGCAAATGCTACAAAAACGACGACCAGTCGATAACAAGCCGCAACAAAATACCGAAGAGCTTTTCTTGAAGCAGCGAGATAAACATAAACTTGGCTCGTCACGGATGCTTGCACAAGTAAATCATAAATATTGGGGTTTAACACCACAAAACTAAAATATGATTATGAGAGACGCCGTAGATGAGGGCTCCGCAAATTCCGACCAATGGTGTTCTTCAACGTGCACCTAATTTTTTTACACACGGGTCTCTGCATTTTCGCCTACCTCGAATTGCGACCGACGCGGCCAGGATTCGATCCCGCGAGCTGCGGGTCAGCATCAGTAGTCGAGCACAACAACCACCGCGGCGGTGCTTGCACAAGAAATTCGACTGCAGTATATGCAAGATGCGATACGGAAGCCGACTGCTGTCAAATAGTTCTACCACAATTTATTTTTGTCTGTTATCAGTCAGAAATGAGACCACTAATAAGAAAGGAAACAATGGCAAAGAGAGAACTCACAATAAAGTGACCATCCGTGCCAAACCTTGAAAAAAATCGGTAATGGTTCCTATCCGCCACAAAGGCCGCGACTCCATGATTTCGCCTCCTAGAAAGGCAAATTACCAAGATGAGACACATAACACGGCAAATGTGCTAACGTATATGGACATTTTCTTCGCCTAGTTTCCAGCTTACGTTCGTTAATATAAGGCATGTTGGAAGTCGATGGCACAGAACGAATTTCGGACGAAAACCAAGCGCCGACTTTCCTCGATTTGCTTACGTAAAACCTACGTCGCAAAGAGAAAATATCCCCTCCAAGGGCCTTCAGGCCCTCAGTCAGGCGCTACTTTCGGTTACGCCACGCCAGCTACGCTGCCTCAGCACATATTGCGAGCTGCCATGCAAATTTTACGCGGCTTCCGGCTTCAACCGAGATTGACTAGTTATGACCCTTAAGAAAAACAAATTGCGTGTTCGCAAACTAATATAATTTTATTTTTATTTTCAATTTTTATTATAAACATAAGACAATATTTTAGTTTGTAAATTTGGAAACAAGTGTTGCTTTTTTTTTAGAGTTGCGTTCATTTCTCTCCGCTAGAGCACCTGTAGTAAACTCCCATCGGACACTGCGGGCCGTCAAGTCTTCCTTTTTTTGTCGTCCCTCAAGATGGTACGTGGCGTGTGTTAATTCTCAAAAGTGGGCTGAGCTCTGCATGTTATATTCCGTGTAATTTAGTGTGTTACGTCATTATGACTTGTTATGATTGTACAAGCCTTGGTTTTCTTGCTTTCATTGTTTTCAGCGTGATCGTGGTGTTGTTCAAACAGTGATCCGGCACAATGGCGAGCTGCACGTGTTAAGCCTTACTCACGCCAACATAGTCAAAAATAAGCGTTGACATGATTTTAATATGAAATCAACAAGCTGAAGCGTGTGCCGTTACAAGATTTTGCCCGTGCTATGCGGTGACGGCTAATTCTGTAAATTTTCTTGGATGCATGCAGCCTGTCTAGCAGCCACACGTGTAGCTTGGCGGCGTGCATTTTCGGTGCCGTTCGTTTAGAACATGTGGTGGTGGTAGTGGTTAGATGATGAGAAAAGGCACCTAATTTCTGCAACCTGGTCGGGAGCACGGCCCAGTGCCGTAAACATATGTGTCCATCGTTTACTATTGGCGCTGCTGGTCGATCATCGTTTTTAGGCCAGCTGCGTATGGAAATGAGAAGTGCCATGACAAAACAGTGTTCAAATTTCGCTAATCCTTGGCAGTATGAGCAACGCGTGATGAACCCTCATGCTTTTGATAGGAATTGCCGTCAGATACGCACTTGACGACAATGCCAGTTCTGAATGTTGCTCAGCTTGCTCTCTCTGTATATATATATATATATATATATATATATATATATATATATATATATATATATATATATATATAGCTTTGACGGACGATTGTTTGACGTTGGTGTGCCTTCCAGACATGAATCTTGGACCGAAAAGCGCATAAACGTTCTTTTGTTGTCCAACAGACCCTGCGGACATTCGTGGAGATCGGCCGGGTGGTCTACCTGACCCATGGCAAATATCGGGGACGACTCTGCAGCATCGTCAATATTGTCGACCAGAACAGGGTGCGTGCTTACGATAATCACAGGTGCAGTACAAACGATCCCGGAAGGCAGTTTTGAAGACATGAAGCGGTGCTTGCGCTAGTGTTCGGTCCGATTCGCACAGCTGCCTTTGTGCTCACCCGCCGGTCGCGTGATCGAATCCCGGCTGCATTTTCGATATAGCCGAAAATGCTGTAGGCCCGCCCGTGTGCTCAGATTTGAGTGCACATTAAACAGGGTTCGTAGTGGTCCTTGAAATCCTTGGAAACCTTTGAATTCTGAAATAGCATTTTCAAGGCCTTGAAAACCTTTAAATTTGTTTGACGTCCTTAACCCTTTCGGCCCTGGAGGTGCCAATGGACACCACCAAACAGTTCCCCTAGTATCTTGGAAACGTAACCAATACTACTCATGCTTGGGGGCATAGTTCTTCAATGATCCCCACTGCAATTGACACCGATATTGTGGCACTTTTGTGGAGGTAGCAGTCACAAAGAAGCGCGACCGAGGTCTTCCGTGAAGCCGAGGCGCGTAATTTGAGGCGGGTATGCGCCATTTTCGGGGCGACGTACAGAAGCTGTTTCAGCGAGTATTGCGCTGAAAAGTGTGACGTTGGTTTCCGTTTCGTGTACAGCATTGATTGGCAGGAAAGAAAAAGCCATTTTTTCATTTTCCAATCACTGGGCCCTAATCACCTAGTTCGATGCCACGTTAATTAATCCAAAAATGCTAGTACCAGTGGCTCAATTTTTTGTTTGTGGGCTTCTGAGGTCCTAACTATGAGAATAACTTGCACATAAAGTGTATCCGACCAAAATTAAAAATCCAGGGCTGAAGGGTTAAAAGTCCTTGAATTTCGTTTAGCCATAATCTAGCGAGTTTCCTTGCATGCCTGGCAACTATGTGCTCTCTAGCCATACATTGCAGTGTTGTAGTACAGTGTGCTCTCTTAGTACACTGTAGCTGTGGTAGCGCTTGCGTGGTTACAGCAGCAATGACTGAGCTAAGTCTTGCTCTTTTGTGGAGACTGTGCAAATGTGCGTGGATATTCGCAGTCATGTCGCTTATGGTGAAGCTATGGCGGGCAAATTCTAGCTCTCTTGGTTATGCATCGCTGCTTGTGCATAGTCTTCATGTGATGTCACTTCCACCGTTGTTGCCATCTCCTGTCATGCCCGTATACCTCACTGGGTACCTACAGTAGTTTGCGTGCTGCAGCGCAGTTTGTTGAGGGCTCGTTTTCTGTTGCTGTGCGCAATGTTTAAGAAGCCGTGCGGTTTTTCATTGTCAGGATTTAACGAGCTCATCTAGTCGGGAAGGCTTCGCTTGTTCACTCGATACAAGACCAGAAAATCAAAACGTGTCACACGTATACCAGTTACCACCTATACCGGCTGCCCGCCACGATCTACGAGGGCCCATTATCTCGCTTTCACTACAAATTGCATGCTCTAAGAAGTGAAAGCACGAAGTCTCTCGAGCCACAATTTTAAAAGTAGATGAGCGAAGCGCACAGCTCCCATCGAAAACGAGTCATCATGCAGCACTAGGCAAGGTTACAGGAGATATATTAACATTATTATTAATTTTAATATACTGCTGTGGCCCACACCAACAAAGTAGCAGTGCGGCTCCCCGGGTGTTTTAAACAGTGCTGATGTTGAGCGTCTGATTGGAATCTCTGGAAACAGTGAAGGAATATATTATGCAAGGTAGAGACTTCGCGTGGTGCGTACCGCACTGATGCCGGTCACTTTTTTTTTTGCATATGTATTGGTTAATTTTTTTACTTTGTATATTACTTTTATTGTGCGCTAATGTACAGTAGAGTCCCTGAAAATTGCAGCCTGTTTTAGGGAATCAATCGAACAACTTTTAAAAACCTGAACCCCCAACTCAAACCGATCGGCCATACTTCAAATCGCGAGTGAACGAATCTCGTTTCACATCCATTTTCACGCAATACCCGAATTCCCGCGCTTGCCTTCACAATCTTAATCGCCTCCCTGACACGCTAATTGGGCACACAGCGGTCGCGGACAAGTTTCTACATACTGTACCTATCTCTGTTGGCAGGTACATGCTTGGATATAGCACTTACCCGTAATGAAGTTACACCTGAAGTCACATTTATCACCGGTTCTTCAAGTCCTTTTTATTATTCTGTGTCAGCCAAACATGCCGTTGCTTTTCGGAAAATCACAATGTGCGATCTCAATTTTAGGTAATCACTTTCAGCAAAGAGAACACCCCCGACGCTCTGCTCGCTCTTTGTGGACTGTTATATAAACTTGCCTCACCAGCAGCTGCTAATTGCTCAAACTTGCATCGTTAGGCAAAACTGAACAGGCACATGCAGGAGGAAACAACACGGTAGCGTTCGGCCATAGAGTCGGTAGGTACCCGGGCATATTGGTGGCGCATGCTGGAAGTGAGGAATCGGCGCTGCGTGATGCACATGCACACTATGTATAGGGAGTGGATTGCACCCGATACGTCAAACTCGCATCAGGCAAAGTTTTCTCATGTGGGAAGAGCTTTAATATGTCAATGGGGAAGTCTGCCCTTGAAAGTCGCATGAAGAGTGCGAAACACTTTAAGAACACAAAAGCGACTACAGTCCATGGTAACTTGAGTGCGTTCACAGTGCCAACCATACAAAAGGAAGTACAAATTTTTATGCTGTAAGAAGTGGCATTGTCATTTCATGCGGTTTCAATTGTTATTTTAAGCCCTTGAAAACCCTTGAAATTTGTTTCACTCAGGTGCTATGAACCCTGTTAAAGAACCTCAGGTGGTCTAAACTTCTGGAGCCCTCCACTACGGCATCTCTCTCATAATTATATGGTGGTTTTGCGACGTTAAAACCCACATATCAATCAACAGCTGTCCTTGTGTGGAATATCAGCTGACAGTCAGTGCCACACGGTCAATCGGGTTCGGTCCTGATTAGGACTGAAATTGTTTGCGTAAGTTGGGGGACGTTGCTAGGTGGTGAAATGATCCGGATCGCGGTAGCGTGAACCCTGCCAAACGTGTTCCCATTGTAGTGTCCAAGGCATATATCAAATTCGCCGATATTGCTGTCAGAAATGTACTGTGAACTTCTACTTTTTTTAAACATTTCGATGTTGTCGTAAGCTTATGATTGAACAAATGAACACTTGTGATTGTCAGCAATTCCTAACTGTTTCATGCTGTGTAATATTAGCATTGATACTGCAAATGAGATTTTTGTGCATAAGTTTCATTAACATTATTTTATAACAAGTATGCATTTATAACAGTATGCAAGTATGTATTTCACTGCAAGGCACAGATGTTGGATTGCAACAACAGAACTTTACTCTGAATCTGAATCATTAGAGGTCATAGTCGAAAGTGGCAACTGCAATCTCTGTAATGGCGTATTCGGTTAAGCGTTTTCGAGCGCTCTGAAAAGTAGCTGCACCTTCGGTTGGTAGGATTCGAGTGCTCGGAAGTCCGAGCCAAGTAAACAAACGAAAAGACAGCTGACCTAGCTACAGCATGTGTAGGCATATTGGTGTTGGAGACTTGCTGTAACATAGCGGACAATGGGAAAAGCAGGGGTGGAAGTGCTGTGCCAATCTGAGCTCCTCCGCATAAACTGCACTTTCCGCGATAATTGTCGATTGGAAGTGCATACCTGCCAAGGATTTTGACCGTTTTTTCCGGTTGTACAGTTGTCGTGAAAATCTCCCGGAAATCGATTTCTGTGCTTGATCTGGCTGCATTGACAAAAAAAGCAGCTCAATCCGCTCCAGGCTTTTCAAACCTATATACCTCATTTTATTATACATGAGTTTAAAGGGAGATGCTACTCGAAAAACGATTTTTCTTTAATAAGAGTCTGAATTTAACACAAATTGGCATGCTAATAGTTTTTTCTCCTCTTTTCAAATATGTCATTTATTTTCATGTAGATTGCTCGGTTTTCTTTCTGCAGGTCATATACTGCAAAATTATGGCCATTGTTATGCAACAATTCTGACCTATAAAAATTTGAGATAAAGCATGCAGATATAGCCGACTATGATCCTTTGAAACTGTAGAGTGCAAAAAGCTATATTAATTTTGTGTGTAAAAAAGGTGAAATACAATAATAAAATAGAAAAATTTACTATGGCTCTAGTTGCCAAGGGCCTTCAATGTTATGTAATTTTTTAAAAACATAATCAAGCAGCACTGACAATCTGAATGGATACTTGCACTCTATGGGCCTTCATCATGCTATGTGCAAAATTTCATAGAGATATGACAATTCTAAGGATACGAACTAGCGTGTATAAGAAGCACAGATCACGCAAAACTGCAAAAGGAGAAAAACGCATTTGAAAGTTTGAAACCTTTTTTTTTTATCACAGAGTTGTTAGAAATGCATAATCTTTGGCCATAATGTTCAACAGAACTTTGAAAAGCACTGCAAGTTACTAGAACTGTCCTGCAGCATAGATTGTGCCCTCACGGTCCTTGCGAGCACTCTCTTCTAGCCGTGCCCTTTTCACTCCACGACGACAATGGGCCCTTACTTCTGCTGTCAGACGCTCGGACATTCTCTTGATGCGCCTCGCATCGCGGGAATCACTGAAAGTAACTAGATCTCTAGATGGCAGTATGTTGAGCTCTTCCAGGATGTGCTCGAAAGTAGCATGACCCTTGTTGAACCACAGGATTGCCATAGCTGCGGCAGTCTCGACAGCCGTTCGGGAGACAAACTTAGTCTTGGGGCAAAGTAGCCAAATTTTGCTGTTCAGGGATTCCGATGCGTTCTGGGTTTTCCCTTTGATGCATCGAGTAAGGAGCTTCCTATCCGTTAGCCGCCCATAAATGGGCAAATCAGCCAATCCCTGTGCTTTTGTCAGGAGAGGTGTGTGGCGTGGTGCAGGTTCACCAAGTGCTTCAGCGCGTTGATGTTTGCACCACGACTCTGTTCCTGCAGGGCAAAACTTGTGGCTGCCAGCATTG